GTCATAGTGTAGTTGAAGTGTGTTGGAGAAAGGGTGTTAAGCACCTTTTAATGTCTTTTCTTCTGTCTTGCTTAGAGCCTCTAGGCAGACATCAGTGCTTTTCAGTCATTGTTAGTGAAAAAAAGCTTTATTTAAATTTTTGTAATGTTCTTTATGCAATGTGCATTTGATCTCTGACTTCACATCTGTCTGTTAATATATTCCTCCAAAGTGGTACACACTTGTCCTGAGATATGTATTATTCATTTTACATATAATTAGAGAAATATATCTATGTGTATATTTGTATGTGTATAAACAAACACATTTTGTTGGCACTGGCACATATAACAGTGCATAAACCAGACCTCTGCAGGTTTCAGATTACCATCTTTGCTGAAACTTGAACATCAGAGTGAAAGTATCCTAAACTTGCTGGGATAATAAGGGAATAGCAGATTACATCTACAAAAGAGCCCAATGAAAAGACTTGCAGTGGGCACTTGGAACCAGGCATCCCGGAGGGGTGTACCTGCACAAGTCCTAAATCCTGGCACATAGGGCCTGGCACCCTTCCCTCTCTGGCATACATCATCTTCATGGGATGATTAGCTGATTGCTGGGTTACAGGAGGGGTAAATTCTGAATCCCCTGGTTTTCCCCTCATGTATAGGCAGCCCCTTCAACCACTGTAAAGCCCTGAGTGGCTGTTTCCTCTGTGCAGTGTGTTACAAGATGTTGGAGGGAGGATCTGACTGGGAGGCACAGAAAGCTGAGCGGAGCAGCCCAGTGGGTTACTGGTGACCTTGAGCTTGCACATGCCTGTTAGCAGGGTGCAAACAAGCAGAAGAGGAAACTTCAGTGTTCCCTTTTAAGAGCTCTCAGCTGTGGTGAAAATGATGGTTTTGCCTCTGCGATGCCTCCCCTGTGGATGAGAGCTAGTGGTTCCTCACCTCCCTTCTGTCAGTCCGAAGTCATCAGCTGCCATCCAGATGCTGCCATGTGCAGAGGTGTGACATTCTCCTCAGCATTAGCCTATTGGGTATTGCTGGAGCTTCCAGCCCAAGCTCCCCTGGATATGTGCCAAGAAACTTTTGGCTTCTGAATCAGTATTAGTATCTGTGGGCCTTTTGCCAGGGAAGCAAAGCAAAAGTTCCCCAACCAAAAATGCACAAATTAAATTTTGCTCTGGATGTAATTGATGTTGAAGTGTGGTGGATGTGAAGTCTGAACTGTAGAAGTTGGAGCTGAATAGATGGGGTGGGAGAGGAGCCTTTCAGGTTTGCTTGGGGTGATAGTTTTAAGTAGGTGATTCCTTTTTCCCTATCTTGCTGCCAGTTTTGTGATTATCATTTGTGTTGTGACTGTGTAACTGGCTGACTTGACTTGTGCCATGAAAGCATTTATAGCATTTAATGAAATAATCCTTTTATTTTCCAGAAGAATCATTGCACTTAGAAAATTTCAAATGCTCTATTCTCATTTTATACTGCTTGAATTTTACCAGGTTTCGGAAGGTCAAGAGATTTGTGTAATTGAAGCAATGAAAATGCAGAACAGTCTGATTGCTGCTAAAACAGGCAAGGTAAGCTACCTTGGGTCACTTAAAACCATATGCAGCTTGTCAAACAGGATAGAATTCAAAAAGGAAAAAAAGAAGATTCTGGTTGTTAAGGAATTAAGTCTGATTGTTGTAAGTCTTTCAAAGTGAGGTGTCTTTAATTTTGTAACATTTGCATCTGCTGTGAATGCTGTTATAAGTAGTTCCGAGCCTTAGATAGCACAGCAGGAAATAGTTTTACTGCCCTCGTAAATTCATATAACTCTCTTTCTCCTAAATGATTTGTTTTCTCTGATGTTACAATGCCAAGTTGAATTGAAAGGTGTTGCAGACCATTTCTCCAAATTTCATCTTTCCAGAGAGCAACTGAAGAAGAGACATTTCTTTGCCAGTTAATTATTTAATGGCAAACAATTTGCCATTAAAAAACCCCACTCAGAATAAGGCATAGAAAATGCTTTTGCAGGAGGAAGAGAGAAGCAATTTTTTAATTATTGTGACTGTTAAATATCAAGCCTAGATCTGCACATTTGTTAAGCTTTGCAAGGTTGTGCATTGTGATATCTTCTGAAGGATCAGCATTGCAGCCCTTGAGCTGGGACTCTCCTGCAGTGTAGGATGTGCCAAAGCGAGTGCTCAGGGCAGGAACTAGTTAAGCTTATATGACGAGGGCATGCCTTAAACCCCAGCTGGTTTGGGGACTGTCAGCCCCCAACTTGGGGCCTCAGAGCATCCCTGTGTCAGATTATAATTCACAGCCTGAAACCATCACCTAGACATGGGCCCCTGATACATCCTTTCCAATGGGAGAGCATAGTCTGGATCTGGGTATATATTCTCTTCTGTTGCCTATTTCCTTACCTGCCCCAACCCATGTTTGCCTGGGGTCCAGCCGCTCTGTTCTCCCTGCTGTACAAACCCCAGTGCAAGGCTTCTCATCCCAGAGGGAGGCAGCAGGGAGCCCGACTCTCCAGGCAGGGATGGGGTTAGCCACTGGCAAGGTTCACCGAGATTTTAGGACAGCCCTCTATGCCAAGGACTGTTTGTGTGTTTACAAGAAAGGCTTATTTGGCACAGCTCTAAAATTGTTACTGAGGCTGGGTCCCAGGGCTTGCCTCTTCCAGTGTATCCAGTGCAAAATTGGGTCTCAAGAGAAAAAAATAGTGAGAGAGGGAGTATGTTCCTTTTCCTGTTGCTCTGACATTGCTACTTTATTATTTCATTTCATGCATTGATTTCTATATAATTTATTCTCTCACTTGATTAATATTTCCAAGCATTTAGTTTTTCATCTTTGCTTCTTTTAACCCCTTATTGTTGCTTTTTGCCTCCACTGTTTTTAACTAGTGAGTATTTGTAATTAAAATGCCATTCCCTCTCTCACTCCCCCCATTTATTTTTCTTTAACCCTCCCTTTCCCACCAACGTGTTCTGCAATCCATAGGCTTATTCCTTAAAATCCTGCTTGTACTTCTCCCAGTAAGAAATATTTCCCACTCATTGTGTACAGATGCCACGTAAAAGCTGTGTTTGGCTTATTAATCCTTCAAGGTGGGATGTGAATGGTGCACAGGCTATGCAGTGGGCCTGATGTGTGCCTTGCAATGTCCCCTTGGTGCCCCAAATTTAATAATAATTAGGAAATTATTTAATTCTTTAGAATTTTAAGAATTTGAAAAAGAAAAGTTTTGGGCTGTGTAGAAATGAAGCTGCTAAACAGAATTCATCCTCTTCTGCAGTGCAAAGTCATGGCTCTAAGTGCTAAAATAACTTGGCCCGTCCACAGGAATGGGATGTTTGGTACTGGCTGTTAGTCCATGTTTTGATGCTTTGAAACTGTGTTTTGAAACTCGGTTCGTTTGTCTTCAGCTGAAAGATGTTCCCATTTTCATTCCTGACTGAATTCCTTTTCTGTATCAAACCCCATCTTCCTGTTTGTAATTGTGAGAAAAGTGGCTTGTTTTTGTCTACTTTGAGTTTACTCCAGCTGCAGGTGGTTTAAAAATGAGGGAAAGATGGAGAGGAACTGGCATGCCTCCTGTCTTCTATGGGACAGCTGTGCCTGGGTCAGAAGAAGAAGCTGGCCCCGCTGCATTTCAGAAATCACTGGGGAGTTTGAAACACTAGTTAGCTCCAATGTTTGCTGAACCTTGGCTTTGTAGAAAAAGAAAAGCAAGAGGTAGGATGTTTTTCACACAGTTTTCATCTCTTAAAAGATTGAGGCTCAGGAATCAGGTAGGCTGCCTAGCTACTGATTTCAGAAATAAAGTCCTTGTTTGTACATATCACGCTGTTTTTCCCCGTGTAGTGTTCAGCATCATTTCTTGACCAGTGCTGTGAATGTGCCTATGCTACAGAGCCAGAGATCTGCTTACAGCAGACTGTCAAACATGGGTGTGGGCAATAGTGTGGCCATAGTAGCCTGGTACTTTGGGTATGCTGTGGATTTCCTTTAAGAGCCCAAGGTAGCATTTGAATTATTAAAATGAGCCAACTGCTGAACAAGGATTTGGGCATGTCAGCGTGAGCTCTGAATTAATCTTGCAAGCAAACTCTAATAAAAAGCTTCAAATATTTTCTGGAGCTCCATATGCTGAAAGGGTATTCAAATATGTTGCAGCCTTTTATGAAGGAAATAAGGGACTAGTATAAGATTTTGTGTTTTAAAATTCAGGAATCTGCACATGAGTATACAATTCATCTACAGATGTAGCTGCATTTATTTGACAGTGGTAGCCCTTTGCCAAGTTCAGTTATGTTAAAGGATCACAATTCAGATTCGAATCATCTATCCCAGCTGTCTGGGGATTGAGAGAAACCCATTTCATGGCTCCAGTCCCAAATTCAGCTATACTTAAAAACTGTAATGCAAGAAATAGTGGAATATTTCATTGAAACACTCCCAGCGTAAGTGTTGGAGTGTCAGCCTGTCCTCTGAAAGATATAAAACTTTAGTAGTAAATGAACAGCAGTGCAACCAGGTGGAAGAAAAGTGCTTTTGAATTTTTGAAGTGCTATCTCCACCTGATGTTTAGGTCTTCAAGTACCTCTGTCTTAAGAAAACCAGCTAGTGGTAGTTGCCTGAGGGGGTTGGACATGATTTGGTCAAGCACTGGAGTGGTGCTGGAGTCTCCATTCTCAGAGGTACTCAAAACTCAGCTGGACTCTGAACACTGGAGGTTGAGCAGTCACAGTCTTAAGGCCCTTCCAGCAGATGTGCATCTGTGATCCCCGGGGTGGTCATCATGTTGCACAGTGGCCATTTACCCCATGCATGCAGATGTGATACTCTATATAAGCCATGTCAGCTGAAACATTCCTTTCACCGTGTTACTGAGCAAGGTTTTAAATTACTGCTGTTTCTGTACCCTAGGTGAAAGCTGTGCACTGCAAAGCTGGTGATACTGTTGGAGAAGGAGATCTGCTGGTGGAACTGGAATGAAAGGTTGCCTCCACACTGTTGAATTAACTAAACCTTTATTATTTTCATCCATAAAGTAACATTAAGGCAGTTCAACACAGAAAATGGACAGTACTATGCGCAAGATTTAATGCAGGCATATTTACTGTATCAGTGGTTAAGACAGCAAACACAGATGTTAAAACTTGGCAATGGATCTCAGATTTTTACTTTCAGAAATACTTGTACATAACCTTTGTAATGCTTTGATTTTTCAGGATCAAATAAAATCAATAAAATACCATTTCTGCTTTAAAACAGGAAAAGCCTCTTTAAAAAAAAAAAAAGAAAACACAACAAAAGCCCTATCTGATTTGTCTTCTCCACAGTAATGTCTCTGGTTTGAGGCCCCAGCGAGGCTGCACAGAATTATTGGCAAGAACGAAAAATTAACCGCTGAGTAAACTGAGCAGTTCTCCTACACTCTGTTTAAGTGCTGCACAAGTATCACCAATGACTTAAATTCTGATCAGATTTATTGTAATATTTTGAATGCTTTGTATAGACTAGATTTAAATTACAGGTTAGAGGCTTTATTTTGCTAGTGCAGACTTTTGTTGTGTGTTTTCATTTCAAGTTTAAGGGATTTGTCTTTTATTCAAACTCCATGCTCAATTTTGCCCCTCCCTTTAATTTTCTTTATACTGATTACTGCATGCAAGTCTTAACAAGGAGGTGGCACTGTCCTCAGATCCCTTTAGCTGCCCCAAAGTATTGCTAGAGGCAGGTACTGTCCCTCAGACCAGGCCTCCTCCTGAATTCTTACAGGAAAGGGAGACCAAATCTCCAATCTTTTGTTGTGCAGAGGCTTTTACTAAAGACTGTGTGAAGAACTAGGACTGTTCATAATACAAGACTATATCATGCTGGAAAAGCTGTGTATCCAGTATGGGAAACCAGAGAGGACCTGGAGAGGAGGAATATTTAAGAGCCTTTAAACAGAAGTAAAAGGGCTGGTGACTTGGGCAAGGAGTATTTTCTCCTCCTCACTCAGGAATTCCATGCCCCACAGGATGATGTAGATACCGGAAGTGTACTGGGTCCAAAATGTTAGTTTGTGATTAACAGAGGCTCCTTATTCCATCCTGTGCCCTAGCTTGCTAAGTCAGCAGCTGCAGCCCACTGGATGCAGTCCCTGCGTTCTGCAGCATCATCCGGTCCCTGTGCTCCTGCCTAGGCCTCTGCTGCTGCCCGTTCCTGGGCCAGGACACTGGCTACTCCCGTCTTTGGGCTCACCTCCCACAGCTGTTCTTTCTACATACCTCTAAGTCACCCTTCCTGCTGTGCCTTGACCACTGCCACAAAGAGGAGCTGCCCTGCTCTCATTTTCTTGCCTAAGAAGTACAGAGTAATGCCGCTTCTTAGAAAGCAGCCCACTGGCCAGAGACACCTGGGCCCTTTACCGAAAGGTGAAGGATGAAAACAATCTGTGGCAGGGCTGGTGACTCATGTTCAACCTGAAAAGTTCATGATTCTGCTTGAAACTTCTGACTGAAGAGGAATTTTTCATGTTATTGAGACGCTGCTAACTTTAACTAAATCACGCAGCCAAGGGACAGGGATCTACTTAGTGAATTAGTTTACAAAATGCATCAGTATGAGGAAGGAGAGTGTTTGGGTAGTACCTGTCTTCCAGGAAAATCAATGCTGTTAAAGTTGGAGAAACTGAGGCAGACACTCTGCAGATCTCCCTCGAAATCTCCTTACTGCCATCCTGGCCCTTCCTAAAGGAGCACAGTTCAACACAACAGCAGGTTGCCCTAAACAAAAAAGTAGTGTAAAGAGACACAAGTATTCTACTTTCAAATTACTTAATTTGCTTACTCCAGCAACATAAAAGCTTTCTGTCTGTTTTTCTAGATGAGATGCAGCAGTGCCTACTACTGCTGAAGTTTAGGCTGATTCCTTACCCGGGATCCCTGGTCTGATTCTCTACTGTGGATCTCCTCTGGCCATCACAGGACTACTGGCAGTGAAGCAAAAGTACAATGTTGTTCCTAATGGCATCATAAGTGCATTTAATTGTACTTTGGCTCACTGCATGTGGCATACATTCCCTGCTCCCATCCCTTTGGCAGCTTTGTATACTGTACTGTATATTTGTACCAAACCCTGCAGTTGAAGGAAAATATAAGGCACAGGAGTGTAACAACAGAAAGCCACGATTTTCCCAGATTGTACAGAAACCAGCACAGTTGGTTGGGTCAGGGGGACAACAGTCTTCTTTACATATTTTTTCCCCAATTTAAATGTTGCAATAATCACAATACAGGTACTTTGGATATTTTTATATTGTATATAAAAATCTTTCCCCCAATAGAAAGCTCAGTTTGCATATGGTTGCAAATTCTACATTAAAGTGCTTGGCAAAAAGTCACCTTGACAGTAAGTGCTCACAACAGCTTCAGTGTAGGTTTGCTTTTCCTGGCCCTCAACTTCACTCACCCCTCCTATGCCCCCCCAAATCCTACAGTCACTCAGTGAACTGAAGTGGAACCTAAAGTGCTTAGAATGTTAAATTAAAAATATAATTTTAAATATAATTTTCTTATAATATCTTAGTATTTTTTCACAGTACCTTGTAAAACTAAACATTATTTAAAAATACACCTTTCCAGTTCAAAAAAAACACACTGCAGTGCAGAGTAAGAATAATCTTTAAATTTTCTCTATTTCTTCAGTAAGTTCCTATTTGTCTAGAAGCACAGAGTATCTTCAGTAACCTACTAAATACCATTACAAGTCAACATTCAGCGTGAGTTGTGCTTTACTTTGCAGACATGACTTTTAAATCAGTTTCAGCTATTAGTGCATAGTATCATCATTATTCCATTCACCTTGGAGAACTACACATGAAATTTTGTCAATTCAGGAAAAAAACCCATAAAATTAGTCTGTTCCTCTGCCTTTCACTGACCTCCATTATGCACCAAGGCAAAGGGGGAAACTGAGGAAATAATTAGACCCCAGACCGGGTGTGCATATACACAGTTTTTACCCCTCATGAAAACCCAGTTCTTTGCAGCAGGTTAGTGGGGGCGAGGAGGACACTGAACTACCTGGGGAGGGAGTCTCCAACTCTGGGCTTACAGGACTTCAACTCTAGCGCCAAGGCTTCTGGGTTGGGAAGGTTACAAGAGATCCTGCATTTTAATAAAAAGGTATTACGGCTTTCCTGGAAAGGTTACTGATCAACACGTGCTTAGTACTACGTCTTCGGCCAGGCTGTGTTACCTCCCATTTCTATTCCCGGCTTTCGCGTAGGACGTAGGAGAGGCCATGTTTCCCTGAGGAGTCGTAACTGTCATAGTAGGGGAGCCCCACCCACTCAGGCGGGTATGTGGCTGTGCTGTACACGAAGCACTCCAGGATGCCCTCGGCACCACCCTTCCCTTCCCACTCCACCACCTCGATTCTCATCAGGGTACGCTGGTACATGTCTGGGCAGCCTTCAAACTCATCCAGGAACTGCAGCATCTGGTCATCAACTGAGTAGATCTCCCCAGCAACATGGTGGCCCGTCCCCGGGATGTTCAGCATGTAAGGAATATTGTATTTTCCTGCAATCACCAGCGGGTACTTCTCCACTGTGCGGCCCCTTCCTTGGAATTTTGCTAGCCCCTTGGCTGTGTTGATCATGTGCTTGTAGTTGGGCTGGCCCTTCTTAAGTGTGCCGTAGACAAAGACACGGGCCATGGTACCTGCAAAAGCAGCTGAAAGACAAAGGCATCTGTTACCATGTGGCTGCCCTGGAGAACCACACCCACACCACGGCACCTCAGACATGCAAGGCTGTTTGGACACATGCAAAAGCCTAGCTCTTTGTAGTCCTACATCACATTTAAGTATCATACTAAATTTAACTATCTTGAAAATTTTCAGATAGAAAATGCATCAGTGCAAAACACACCAGAACAAAGTCAACCTTTTGTAGTTCTTTGCCGTAACCAAATTACATCCCATGGTTTCTCTAAGGAATCCCCAATGTCAGCTAACGTATTCCTGCACCTCAGGAAAAGCTCTCAACCCTTTTTAATTTTTCTCTTTCCCACCACTGTGTGAGCTGTGCTGATGCCTGCTCTGCTGGTGCTACGAAAAAATTCAGGAGCCGTAAGCTGGGGTGAGATAAGAAAGGGTTTAATTCTGCCAAGGCAATAGAGATGTTACACGACGCGCACCCCGGGCGGTGCCCGAGATGTTACATTTATAACAATATCTGGCCAATCTCAAGTGTGTCCTCCCCGTGGCTTTTGCTCTGGTCCACCCCCTGGCCCGCCTCCTGGAATTGGGTTGGGGGGCTTTTTGGGACCCCCTCTTCATCATTCTTCCTCATCTTTGGGGTACAGAGAGCAGAGTCACCCAGTTCTTTGACTCTGTCCTGCGGTTTAGGCCAAGATATAAGCGTTCTCCAAACAAGACAGGCTTGCCTTGACAAGAGACAAAACATCTTCTACTGGATATGGGAATAGGGTTGATATGGGGGGTATGGAATGGGGTGAGAGGATTAAGGAATGTATAAACTAAGGGGTGTTACAGGGAGGAGAGAGAAAGGGGTTTGTTTCTAAAATCTACTTCTATTACCTATAAAACTTATAAGGCTTACAAAATTAGAAAAATAAAAAAACATTAGGGGGCTTCAGGCATCATGCTGCAGCAAGTGTGTGGTGCCATGCTCAGTGACACCCCAAAAGCAAATGTAACCTGGTGTTGAGTTATCTCATGGACATGCTGATGGATTTGCAATAACCCCAGCTCCAAGGTCTCACATGCTGAGTGACCAACCAATGCAGAACAGCAAGCTGTGGGCTCCAGGGAGGGAAGTGGGGTGGCCTGTGACAACCACCTCCCGAGCAAGCAGGGGCTGTCTGAAAGGTGCCATTGAAGTTTGTCCTGCTACTTCAGGGGAGGGGAATGACGATGGCTGTAAATACGAGGTGATTTGCAGAACTGGTCATGTTTTCCCAAACCCCTTCACCCCTCCTGTCTGAGGGAGCTGTGCATGTTCCTTCCATTTATTTACCTTGGGGGCTTGTGGGAGGAGAGATGTGGTATTTCAGCCCTTATGAAACTGGAAGCTATGGCTGTTGGCAGAAGACCAGGTAAGGCCATGTTGGGGACCCCTGGTGGCCTAGTGGTTAGCGTGCAGGACTCTCACCTCTGCAACCCAGGTTCGAATCCAGCCAGTCCCCCAGGCAGATGGAACCCGTTAGCCCTGTGAGGCCATCCATCTATGAGAAGGTCACTCTAAACAAACCTACGTCCTGAGGACCTCACTGCCATTGTCCAAGCTTGCTTGGCCCCGGCAGATGAACCTTAGGATTAAAGGGTGGGCTCAGTTCAGCGCAGGCTGTGTCTCACCTAAAAAATCCATTGCGCAGGCTGGAAAGGTAAAAGACCTTTCCCCAAATCTTCGTTCGCGAAGACTGGCCATTATTATTATTATTAGGTAAGGCCATGCTGCTCTTGTCCCCAGACAGACACCCCAAAGTGCTAAAGCACCTCAGGTAGCTGGTCTGCACATGTGCTAAACCTCTCTTGAAAACAGACCCTGCACGACCATTTGTTTTATTTGTGAGCATGAAACACTCAAAATTGGTTTAAATGGGATAAAAGACTGACTTTACTGAATGGTGTGTGTGGAGGGGGAAAGGTACCTCCATCATTCCTGTGTTACTTTTCACACCGTGCCCTGTTTATCTCCTGTTGTTTCTGTAAGGCAGAAGCAGTTCTTGCACTGTGATGTTTTTCCACATTTTACCCTTGGTCGCTGACTGGGCAGAGCCTGCCTCATCCACAGTTGTCTGTGGATGCACCCAAGGAGCATATGCAGCTCCTCTTGGGAAGAGGGCATTAAACAGTGTATTGCAAGTTTGAAAAATCTTTAAAAACAGACTGGAAGTAGAAATGCAATCTGTTCTCTGCTATTTATTCTTATTTTAGTAAACTGTTAGGTCAGTTATCCAAAAGGGTGCATTGCTGGCCAAGAGCAGTGTCATTTAAAATCCTCAGTAGCAAAGCAATTTCCCCCTTGGCGAAGTAAACAGTTTTTCTCTATCAAAATACAGTTTTCCAAGCAAAAACTGTGCCTTTATTTACTGACAAACTGCTTCCACTGGGGAAAAAGAATATGCTGATTTCCCCCCCCTGTATTTTATCAGATATACTTCAGAGTAATTTATTCTTCATGACATAAATGAGTTTTTTTTGGATGTAGCTCATTCCCTCACAATAAGAAGAGCATTAATATTCAGTCAGCCCAAGTCTCTTTTATAAGAAAAATCATTACCTTTTAGACTGTGTTTTGAATAACAAACACAGATCCTTCAGGAAGAAACTTGTCCCAGTGGGGATTGAGAAAGGATCAGAGTTAAGCACTGAAACATGCAATTAATTCCCATTAGGGGATTAGGGCACTCGTGTTCACTTTGAATCAGAAAAATGAATCGTGAATTAAATTGTTCACAACCAAGAGGTTACTTGTCAGAGTTAATAAGTTAAAAAATAAAAAGGAAACCTAAAACGCACATAAAAAGCTCTATAGTGAGTGATGCATCTGTAAGAAAAAGATATGCTTCATTTCCATTAAACAAAAGCCCTGTCCCTACTGTACAGCTGGAGATAAGCTTCCAAAAAGTTTGCAGGAAAGAGTGTTACCACTCCTAAACCCAGTAAAAACTAAGTACCCGTTTCTGATGGCACAGCAGTTGGCTGCTTGGAAACATCACCCCTTTGAAGGAACACACCCGTCATCCTCATGCAGGGTCCACAAAATTCAACAGCAACAAAAGAACTTGCTAACCCAGGTTTGGACAAGTGTTTCCGATTTAGCATTTGAGTAGATGGATTTAGCAGGCAGTACAAATGGAGATGGAGTGGGAAGTTGAATTTTCAGCCACAGTTTGTGTAGAGCCTTGAGGCTGATGTACTCATGGAGCTGTGGCTTCATGGGCAGGTGGCCACTGAGCTCCCCATGGCACCGCTGTGGTCCACAGTGGCCCTGTTGCTCACACTGGATGGGTTGGGAACAATGACTTCTCCTATAAAAAAAAAAAAACCAACAACAAAGCCAAGCCCAGCCCTCCAGCTGAGGAGTTATTGGTAATAACATTTTCTAAACGCCGCTCCATATAAATAAGACATATGCAATTTTATGCACAATAAATCTCGTCTCCCGTGTGCCGTGTGTTGCGCTGCAGAAAGGCTGCAGATGTATTAGCATCATTTAAAGCACTTGCATATCATGGGCTTTCACAACATTTTTAGCCACCTTGTGGCCAGAGAGCACAGAGCAGAATTGTATTTGAGGGTCATTTCACAGGCTTCCACTAAGCAGCTGAAAAGAGTTATAGACAAGCATCCCCTTGCTGAATCACCAACAAGAAGTTGCCTTTTCTCACTTAATCCAGTTTGACACTTCTTACCTGAGAGGAAAAGAAAACCTACCAAAAACCAAACAAAACCCCCCAAAACTCTATACTAAGTATTAGCTGCCAGGACTAAACAAACCCATTCAGAAGGTACTTTCATGAAATATTCATGCAAGAATCATTAAAATTTAATGGCATGGGGAAGCACGAGTAAAATTTGTATGTCATCTTGGCAAACTATTTCTTTTATCTATGAAAGACAACCTGCCAAATTACTTACGGGATCAGTTACTAATTGCTTCATAAGATAAGATGCAAAGATCAGAAAATAAAGTAACTACTTCAGGCTCATACAGGTGGATGTTGCTGGGTAAAACCAGAAGAGGCTCTTAACTGGTGTCAGCCAGCAGCCCAGGTTGCCACTTGGCATTAGCACTGGCAGGGCTGCAGCTCTGTATCCACCTCTATCCTCTCCTACCAATGGAGTTTTGGGTCAGGGCTTTAGTTTTCGCTCTCAGGCCCAACAGTTCCAGCATGGTGAGAGGGGGGTGGGCGGCAACGTGGCCAGTCACTGGCTCAGTCAACGTGTACCCGCTGCAACCAGGCTCTTTGCTCACAGGTTGTACCCAAAGCAAGACCTTGCTTCCTAAGTAGCAGGAGCACCTTCAGCAAAAAATCATTTTTTCACCACGATTCAGACAACTACCAGCTTCTTTCAAAAATAAAGTAAGAAATAGTGTGTGTGTTATGCTGGCTGCAGGGCTGTTTGGAATCATGGTAGCAGTGGGTTAGGGCGAAAAAGTTTCAAGAAAATAAAACTCCACTCAGAAAGTATCCATTTCTCTCACTCCATACAGTAACATTATTTTCCCTTGAGAAAAATTCTCCACATTGGCTCTGTGACCAGATATAGTTACACATTAATTCTTCAGAAGTTTCTTAAAAACTGTAGGAAACAGGTGAAAAAACAAAATGCCTTGAACTTTAAACTTGAGCCCAGTCTGTTTGAATGAAGCGAGTTTTAAGGTCACTCTTCACTCAATGCTAACTTTCAAGAAGGACTAACATGCCAGAGAGGACTCCTGGGACTGCATCCTGTTAGTCCTTTGATGCTTTCATTTTGTTGCTTGCTATTTTCTTTATAGCACAGACAAGGGCTTCCTGCCCAGGCCGACCCCTTCCCAACATTGCTGAATACCTCGGAAAAAGTTTATGGCAAGACACCTTTCTTACATTAACCACAGAGGCACCAGTGAAACGATGGTTCCTTTGAAATCAAGAGGTTACGGTCTCCTCACAGCGGTCATCCGCTCAGAAACTGTGAGGTGCTGGTTTGTGAAAACAAA